ATATTCTTAAACTGTGTTACAAGACAAATGACAATGCTGATATTACTCGGTTAAATCCCAGCCACTCAATCAGACTTGGCTTCTGTCAGGATCAAATTTATTTCTCAGTAATAGTTGAGTAAAAGACAGTTCTATAGAGGGACCCTGTTATGAAGCACCTCAGAAGTTTACATTTAACAGGGTGCCTTGTGCACCTGCAGTTACTTGACATGCAGGAAACTTCCCGTTTCCAGTGCAGACTGTGCTAAAAACTAGCCGACTTCCAGATGGTCAGGTAACCACTGATCACTTCCTGCGTACTGTGTATATTGTGAAGGAACTGATATCAACATACAAGAAGCAACCTCACTGCCTCCTGACAACCCAAATGCAGCTTTTTTTTTCGCTTTGTTTTAACTTGGGGGTCTGAGCATCTGTACCAGGACCATCACGTTACAACAGGGTTACCCGTAGTTAGGAACACTTTGGGAGTTATTCTCCCCTTGTGACTAAATTCATGATAATAGTAACAATAATAATCATTGACTGTAATATAGTGCTTTCCACTCTATATTTTGAGTGCGCCAACCAATTTGCACACATCAATGTCCCACAGACAGGTATGAAGTGAATGACCAATTTTCTCTGGGGAATTGTTGGCCAGAACACCATGACAAAACTCCCTTTTTCCCTGGCAAGTGGCGGACATACACATAAACTGTAAAATATCGATAAATTTACTGGCATTTCAAAGTGTGTGATCATAATCCCATTTTATAAGTGTGCATCGCCAAAATTCAGTAAATTTACCAGCAAGGGAAAATAATACTCTTTGTATCCATCTGTAGATTTTTTTTTCCCATTGATTATAAAGCACTAGTTTCCACCGTAACTTTCAGCTCCAGTGCACTCTGAGGGCAGGCAAAAAACCAAGTCTTGTCGTCCATGATCAAATAGGGTATGTTTGAAATGTTCAAAGAGCAACAGCATTAACATTTTGGGTCTCAGAACCTTTCTATTGTGTTCCTAAAGAGAGGGAATGCAATATTTTATACCAGGTGAATGGAACTAAATGCAGTCTTTTGAACACATTTGGCTACATGCTCTCTCCATTGTACATGTGAAGTCAGAAGAATATGCTTAAGGAAATGTGAGCATACTTATTATAAGTGTGCATTGGTGCCAGTCTGTGTGAGCTGCAATATCCTAAAAAGGCAGCAAACAAATTAATAATGTCAACCTGGCTCAAATGATTTGAGGCATCGCAGTTTGTCTCCTCACAGAGTGAGAAAGGGCATGTAATGTATTTTTACACACTCCCAATGCTAGTCAAAATACTTCGGATTATTGTACCCCAGCTTAAGCATCCACACGGGCTGAAATTGTAAGACATTCAAACACCAGGCATAGACCTCAGCTACTTCAGCAACGGCAAAGTGGGTCTGATCTTACAAGGGTTAAATTATTTGAATGTCTCAATCACATTTGATACTCTGTTTTGTCAGAATTTGAGTACAGTAGATAATCACAGTTTACTTTTGGTCTAAAAGAATGTAAACTCCGACAAGCTACTAATTAAGGACTGCGTAGCATTGGTCGGGAAATTCCTCAGGGATTTCAAGGCAAATACTTATTTCGTCATGACACTACTTAAGGTGATTTAGAATAGAACTAGTTTGTCCTTCAGATATTAGACCTTTTTTGCAGTACAATAGATGGCGTCCCCTTAAATTGTCACTTTCCATCTATGGTCACTGTTTTCTAATGTTCCAGCTGTTTAGCAGATCTTACTTATTTGTCACTTCTTTGTGTTTTATTCCCATCTTCTTGTTCCTTCAAGTCAACTGTCCATCAAGTGATGTGAAAAGTTAGTAAAGTGAGAGGGAAAAAATTGTCCCAAATCATTCCTTGCAATTATTCCAGGGCAGGGCATTTAAAGCGCTCCGGGATGCTACCCCACTTGAAGGGCGCTATATAAATGCAACTTGTTGTTGTTTATTTCCATGTTGTATTTGAAACCTGCAAGACCTGCCAGAAACTCTCATTTCTGGAAAAAAAAGGGAATGGATCACACAGTTAATGGAATAATAATAATATTAATAATCCTTGCATTTTGATATAGCGCTTTTCACGTCAGGAGGATGTCCCAAAGCGCTTCACAGAACACACTGTAAAGTGAATTGACTGTATATTTGTGGGCGAACGCGGCAGCCAATTGCGCACAGCAGTGTCCCACAAACAGTCGTAGATTGAAAATGACCAATTTATTATTGTTTTGGGTTTTGGAGGGATTATTATTAGGCGTGTGGAGTAAGGAAACTTGCCCAAGGTTTCGCCCTGCCTGGATTTGAACTCAGGTCCCTCACCTGAATGTATGTGATCTGATGGTAAGGAGTGTTTTCTTTATTCTCAGATTCTGCTCAGATCCTTCACAAATGAACTATTTTGATGCAAGTGGTCAGGTCTACTAATGGGCACTTGTATCAAACAGGAAGGTTTTACACTTCCTGTTTACCTAGCAGTAAGTAGGAATCTGGGTGTTAGTTGATTGGTGGATTGCTTTTCCGGGATATAATCCCTTAAAAAAATGATATTAATAACAATTTGATCACTCAATCTACGACTGTTTGAGGGACATTGCTGTGCACAACTGGTTGCCGCGTTTCTCCCAAATAACATACAGTCAATTCACTTTACAGTATATTTTGTGAAGCGCTTTGAAACATCTTGAAGACGTGATAAGGAACTATATCAAATGCAAGGATTATTATTATTATTATTTGAGCTGCATTCCACCAAGAGTAATGGGAAAATGCTGCCACCCTCACTCATATAGTTACCTCTCCCTCCACCTTCCCCAAATAACAAGAAGCTGCAGCAGGAGCTCAGAAGAAATAGCTGACCGATACTGCCTAGAGTATGTAGCACCAGAAGGAGCAATGTACATCTCAGTGTTGGCTGGATAACCTGGTGGGAAATGATCAACTGGAAGCTGGTCACTATCTGCCTGACTGGAATTATTTATTTAATAAGGGAAAACATTTACAGTTGTGTACCCAGAGGCAGAACTTCACACAGGGCACAGCAGGGTGCTTACAATTTTTATTGCTTGAATAGTGATTTATTGTCTGCTAAATTCCTGTTAAAAAAATTAGCAAAACGGTCAGAATACCCTGCTTGAAGTCCAGGGAGAAATAATTACACTTTGGCACAGAAACAGATTTGCTGCCTCCCTCACCATTTGCAATGCAGCTACCATGACAGATATATCACACCAAATATGTGGAGAAAATATAGATCATAATAACAATAACAATAATAATAATCCTTACATTTGCTAAAGGTCCTTTCACATCAGGAGAATGTCTCAAAGTGCTTCAAACGATATCCTGTAAAGTGTAGTCACAGTGTGATTTCTATTCGAACAGAGCAGCCGATTTTCACAAAGCAACGTCCCACAAACAGCCATGAAGTGAATGATCAGTTGTATCTTTGGGATTCTTGGCCAGGACACTGGGAGAAGCTCCATTCTTTTTTTAAATAGGGCCGCAGGATCTGTAACATCCACCTGAACAGATAGATGGTCTTGACGTGAGGCTCATATCTGCTGCTCTATCTGAGACAGAGGCAAGAATGCTAGCGACTAGGCCAGGCTGTCACATGATTCTTTACGAGGAAAGAGTAAAGGTACAGTGGCCTGGGGACATATTGATTTCTAATTTGTGAAAACCGCAAGTGGTTTATAAGTAGCCAATCATGTAGCTGTCCAGGTTTGTCACAGCTCCACTGTTTCCTGCCGGACAACAGGAGACATTTTTGGCTGCTATCCAGTTTTACAGAAGTGGATCACATCCGAGCAGAATTCCAGCGCCCATATTTGCAAGATTTGCTAGTTACAAATCCATTTCTGATTCTCGCAGATTAGATCTGAGCATGTTAGAATGTGCCTTGGGGCATTAGCACAAATCAAAATGGTCAGGATTGCCGCTGTCCTGAATTCCTGATCTTGGCTGATTTCCCGAAGAGAGAGAGAGAGAGAGGGAGGCACTTAACTGCACAAAGTGAGGGAAAATTGGACCAGTCCAATGTGAAATGCTGTCACACAGGTCCTATTGGCTTGCCACAGAGTGGATTGGCATGGGTTTGGTAGCTGGTCATAACCCTGGCCTCAGCTGATGTGATATGTGATGCTGGGAATCAGGAAAATTGAGGGACCCAGAACAAGAAGTGGGGTTGGGGGAGTGAAGAAGAGATGGTAGGCAGAGATCTCCAAATAATTGATTTTCAATTTGTCTGATCTTCATATTGACTTTCACAGAAGATTAAGCTTGGAACCCGGAGATGAAGTGAAAGATTATGCAGATCACATTACACTCTATTAGGATGTTTGGGTTTCCGCCTGATGCACTTCAGTTCCCATGTACAGTCTGTATCTAACATGATTATCTTCATTCTGCACCCCTATGATTGATTTCTTCATATGAATAGTGGCAAAGGTACAAGACGTACTAGAAAGGGAACTTTTTTTTATATATATTCCTGTGGGAATATGACCTTGGGTGGATTAATCGTGAAACTTTATTTTTACAGTTGAACGGCAATTAAAGTAAGCCTGGCCCTGAGCACAGAAAGCAAATCTCAGCTTTCATTAATGCGAGGTTGGTTATTCATTCTTATACAAAAGCAGAATTAACAGATGTCTCAGGTTTTACTGATGATTCAGCTGTCTGACCTACCCTCATGCAATATTGAGTTACTGTTGTTTCTGATTTTAGATTTCAGAATCTCTGTGCAATAATTGCGTACATGTTTAGGGGAAAGATGTGCATGTTTGAACTATCACAATAATTAATAGGGTTAAAATTGCAATATTCCTTAACACACTCTATTCCTTTTTAAAGGACAGAGTTAAATTCATTATTTACAATACCTCCCTCTCCCACTTGCTTCATGTGTACCAATATGTGGAAAACTGATTTTAATAGATTTTTAACTAATAATTTATTTTCTTCTCTTCCTAGGGCCCTTTTCCGTGGTAATTCAGATGTTGATCAATTAGGAAAAATCTTTGAGTAAGTTTTTGTTTGTGTGGCGATCACAAGCCAATAATAGTTTCTGCCCTTTGTTTAAAAAAATACTATCACAATACAGTTTATTTAAATGTTTTGCTCAGGTTGGATGGATCCTTTCAATAAATAACCAAATAAATAATATTATCCTCTAGTCAGACACTGGGAATGATTGAATATGGCAAAACCTGGGGCTATTTCGAAAAGCAGTAACAGTTAGTGCATTACTCAACTTCCACCAGGTAATTGCTCTGTGTCTGGGAAGCTATTGCTACCACAGACTGCAGCTACATTGTGTGGCACATTAACATTAGCACTAGTACATGCATCAAATAAAGCCTGTAGCAGGCAGCAATGATTGCAACTGACAGTGTGGTGAATTGTGGCTATAAACATCCCACCGAACGCTCCTTAGGTGCGCCGATGTTCCATCAGCTTTTCTGGCATGAGTGTAAACTTCCTGAGGCTGAACATAGACAAGACGGAAGCCTTGGCTCACGTCAATGTCTTCATTCCTGCAAATCTAAACTCCTCGATCTCCCTGGACTCTCCTTCAGACTCACCGAACCAGTGCGCAACCTAGGCATCCGGTTCAAACCTCAGCTGTCCTTCCTCCCCCACATCCGGTCACTGACCAGGACCACCTTTTTCCTCTTCTGTCACATTGCCCACTTCCGATCATACCTTACCCCAAATCCAGCCGAAACCCTCGTGCATGCGTTTGTCACCTCCCACTTGGATTACTCCAACGCACTTCTCGCCGGTGTCCTCAGCTCCACCATTCACAAGATCCAGCTCATTCAAAACTCCGTACCCACATCTCACCAGTTCTGGCCAGGCTCCAATGGCTTCCCATCACCGAATGGATCGACCTCAAGATCCTCACACCCGTGTTCAAATTCATTCACTCTCTGGCACCTCCCTCCCTCTCCGACCTCCTCACTCCCCAATCCACCATCCGACACCTCCGCTCGACTGGCACTGGCCTCCTGCTTGTCCCTCGCACCCTCCGCCCCACTATCAGAAGTCATGCTTTCAGCCACTACGCCCCAAAACTCTGGAACAATCTCCTTCAATCTGCCTTGCCCCCCCTCTCTCCTCTTTCAAGTCCCGCCTGAAGACTTTCCTGTTCAACAGTGATTGCAGCCACCTCTCCCCTCCCCGGCTCGGAATCAGGCTCTGCCTCTATTAAGAGCTCTGACATGCTACCCTGCGTAGAGGGCGCTGTTTAAGTGCAAGTTGTTATTGTTGTTGTTGCTTCATATAGCGCTTGGTTTTATCATTGCACTGTGCCAGATATTTATACATCTACAATGCTCCCTAGTTCATGAGTTTATTCGTGAGTGTGCTCTGCGCCCCTTTTAAGATATATTCTCCCTTGGCCTTTTTAGTGGTACCCACAAATTCCAGAAGCAGACTTACCCCTGGTGAACCAGGATGATGCATCATGTATCATGCCATCATGCACACACCCCTATCAGGCATTGGAGTGGCAGTCGAGGCAATGAGCTCAAAGTACCAAAATGGGGCTTGAAATCGCAAACTTCTGACAGAGAGGCGAGAGTGCTACCAACTGAGCCAGGCTGACACTATTCCCAGGAGAATAAGTTGATAAAGCCTCTCATGTCATTTCACTAGATGGTGTGGCCTAGCAACAGGAGAAATATGGAAATATTTCAGCAGCCTGCAGGCCTCTTAAGCGTGATAAGTCATTTTGACTGGTGGCATGTATTTACATATAGGAGATAGTTGGGTGATGATTCTACATTTAAGCACAAACTATGATTTCTTGGTGCCTTGCTCACTGGAAGACAATTTTATACATGGCTTCTGAGACACTTACAGCAACTTTTGAGTTTGTGCTGGAGATACAATCAGTTTTTATTTATTTACGATTTGGGGCAAATAGTGTACACCCATTCTGTCTACCACAGAGAGAGAAAAGCAGGCTGTCCTGATAGCTCTTCCTAGTCATATCAAAACTCTCGAAGCAGTGCAGAAAACTGCTACGCTGCATGTGAAGGTTTGAAGATGTACATGCAGAGCCCTGCAAATCGCTTTCCCCTTCCTCTGTGAATGCAATTTCACACTGGCTGCTCTCTCTGTCACAAAAGTGATATCAGTACATTACCAGCAGGTGCCCTATGGACACATGATTCTCTGATTAATCATAGCATTAACATTTCAGCATTTTTTAAAATTTGCTTCATAAAAGCCATATTCATCATAGGTTACCAAAATGACTCATATATTTTATCATCACACTGACTAATGACTAGGTCATCCTCAGTACAACTGCACACCCCCACACACACATACATACAGGTATACACCCACACACTCATATATATATATATAGGTATACACAAACACACACACATATATATATAGGCATATACACACACACACACATATATACAACTTGGATTTATATAGCGGACGGTGTCTCAGAGCGCTTCACAATAACGGATCCCGGGGCTGAGCCAGGGGAAGGGGGAGGAAGGTGACCAAAGGTGCAGTCGAAAAGAAAGGTATTTAGCCAACACCTGAAAATAGGAAGAGAGGGGGCGAGGCGAAGGGAGTGAGGAAGGGAATTCCAGAGCCTCAGGGCATAGTGGCTGAAGGCACAACCGCCGAGGGTGGAGCGGAGGATTCAGGGGACAAGGAGGAGGCCAGACCTCCAACGGGCCAACGGGCACTGGTGAGGAGAGAGGAGGTCAGAAAGGTAGGGGGGTGCAGAGGAGCGGAGGGATTTGAAGACAAGAGTGAGGATCTTGAAATCGCACGCACACACATATATATATAGATACACACGCACACACACGTATATACAGGTATACGCTCACACACAGCCATCTCATTTTTGCTGTGCAGCTGTTCATGCGGCAATAAAATGTTTCATCCCAAATTGTTAAATGTTTTAGTTCTTATGTATGATTTTCGATGTAGGAAATTAGAAGAAGTTGTTTTTCCATTCCAGTTACTTTAAGACAATCTGCTTGACTGCTCACTGAGTAATTTTCCTACAATTCCACAGAGAAAAGTATTGCCCTCTAGTGGTGTTTTAAAATATTGCCAAATTAAACAAGATTCTACGAGGTTGGTCATTTGAGTAAGAATGAACCTGTATTCCTATAACCTCTTATATGTCTTAAGTATCTCAAAGCACCCTACAGTAATTATTGATCAAGTAAGTGACTGATCAATAATTTGTAGGCAAATAAAATTCTTGAGTAGTCTTGTGAGCTCCCTTCCTTATTTTTGACTTGTAAATTGAATGTTCTCAGTTTAGATCCGAGAAATGCAGTGCCAGAAGATATGAGTGAGGTTCAATCCCTGATCTGCGCTGATACAGCTATTTAGCAATCAGTGTGGTGTGTGTGTGTATAGATGCCAGCAAGAGATCCATTTATAGTTCCTCCCTTGGTTCACTATTCTGAGAACATTCACTAAGTGTGCTCACACACCCGAGAGAGGAAAATATCAAAACAATTAATTTAAACAAATATTGATTTGAATAATAATCTCACCCATTGGTCAGGCTTTTTCTCCTCAATTACTACGCTACGTCTTGCTGCACTCTAGTGCATTCATTGTTGCCGCATTGCTATAGTAAATCCTGTGAAGAGCTTTGGTATATCCTCCCAAATTGAAAGGCGCTGGATCAACTGCAAGGATTAGTTATTATTTTTACTATTATTATTAGATACGTGACAGCATGGCACATTCACATCTGCACCTCCCCAGCTGCTGATCTTGGGCATGACATGAGGGGGATGATCAAGCAAAGGCTGAGTATTTCCCACAGTGAGGTTGAGAGATGTGGGGGTGGGCAGAAACACAGCTGGAAGTTAGTACGAGTTACTTTAATGTATCACCCAAGCAACTGGCTGTAAAGCGGTATTGATGGACCCCAGAAAAAAATGATCCCTTGACACTGCAGGAAAAGTGTAACATCCAAAGCCAGGGTGGGAATAGATAACAACAACAAACTGCATTTATATAGCGCCTTTCACGTTGGGAGGATGACCCAAGCTTCTAAAATTATGCTAACAAATGTTATTTATGCTAACAAATTCAACAAAATGTGGAATTTGTTAGCATATATGGCCATTCCACTAAGGCAATAGCAACATTTATAAGGGAATTGGATAAATGTTTGGAAAAGAACCTTGCAAAATTATATGAGAAAAGAACAGGGAAATGAACTTAGAGTAGTTGGTTTCAGTGGGGAAGATGGCACTAGATATGGCTCAATGAGACAAACAGCCTCCTACTGTTTCGCCCACAAAAGTACAGTCAGTTCACTTTACACTATATTCTGTGAAGCGCTTTGAGACGTCTGTAAGATGAGATAAGGTTCTATTTCAAATGGAAGGATTATTATTACTATGCTCTAATAGTACATGTGTATTGCTATTGAATATGTTTTCTTTATATACATGTTTACATTCAAAGTTTTATTTTTAAATTCATTGGTTCTTCTCTTACGCAGTGTCCTTGGTCTTCCAAGTGAGGATGACTGGCCTTGCGACGTGGCCCTTCCAAGGGATGCATTTTCGTTAAGATCTGCACAACCCATACAAGAAATCGTACCAGAGATAAATGAACTAGGAAAAGATCTGCTGCTGGTATGATATTGTTGCTACAGTATATTCATATTCAGTCTATATCAGTTATAAAATAGCATCCAGCTCAGATTTGTTTTGTAATGTTCTCAACACCTTACAAGCCAAACCCATGATGGGTAGAATGGTCCTATAATTACCAGGTTGGCTTAATTCTAAACATGAATGAATATTTATGCCTTTAACATCACTGTATTTGGTGCCAATCAATATTTGTATTACTTTTTGCAGCAATATGATCAGGAGAGATTGGTGTGGGAGGTAGGGGATCATTGAAAGATCTTTAGATAGTTGTGACTTGTATGGTACCAAACTAACCAATTGGTAATAATTTTCCAACAGAAATTTCTGACATTCAACCCAGAAAAAAGAATATCTGCATTTAGTGCCCTGTCCCATGCATATTTTATGGACCATGAGAAACATACAGAGAATCAGAACTCATGTCTATCTCCGAACCACTCTTCTACCGAAGAGAACACAGCTTAGTATTTGCAAGGAATGGACAAGCCTGTGCGATCTGTTGGACGTTTCTTTCTCACAAGGTTTTGTGTCTCTACCGTTGAATGATTGGTCAAACTTTACGCTGGTAAAAGGATTACTTGACAGATGGAGTAACATTTTTACAATTTGCAATACCATCCATTTGCTGCTTTTGAAACAGATGTTCCATTTTTTTTTTGGCGTGATACCCCAACGGAGGTTTACTGTTTATTGAAACAATGCAAAAAAAAAACTGCTGCAGCTTTTTTTTTTCCCTGGGAAAACTCTGGACTGGATTAGCTGCTGTCTGTTCACCAATGCTGCAAATCTTGTTACCTGAATGTGGAATGCTGCAAATGTGAAGAATTTGGAACACAAAAACCCACAGTCACTGCCAAACTTGCCAGAGTTTTCTCTGTACAGCTGCTAAAGCCAGGATTGCAAAACAAATATATTGAAAAGGAAAATAAAATGTACTGAATCTCCTAACTGACAAAAAGTTATCAAGTGTTCTTCATATAATACGTCTGAAAAAGTGCAACCTTTTTACTTCAGACACGCCCCATGGGAACTATGAGCTTTTCACTTACAAACAACCCATTGAGATGTCACGGAACAAACCAGTTTGACTTTTCGGAAAAAAATGGCTTGAGTGCTTTCACGCAACTAAAATCAAAATATGTTTTTTTTTCTGTCAGAAAAAAAATCAGGATTTAAAGAACAGCTGTAAAATGTGCCTACGAAAAAAAAATCATTGAAGAAAAGAAAGTCGGGCATGTTTCTTTGCTTTTATAGAAGTTGTTGCTTGTTGTTTTAGATGGTATTTTTATATATGCTGCGACAGAGCAGAAAGCAGGGCTTTAGAAAATTTGGAAAATATATCTTTTGAATTATTGTCAAAGTTAATGCAGATCAATATTTTGAAATGCTATGTTGGGAAGGTACTATATGGATCACATTATTGTTCGGTCCATAGCACCGATTAATGCTTCGTAAATCTCCCTTAAATGCTCCTCATATCCAGCACTTAGACCCATACAACCATGCACTTGCAAAACTCTTCATTTATGTATTATTAATCAGTCATGCCACTCAAACAGTAGGGTTGAAAATGATCAGATAAACACCCCCTTTACAGCTGAACCGTAGTGATGTGATATGGACCTGATAAAATGACGTAATCCAAAACACATTGGTATCTTCCTTGAAAATAGTACTGTAGCTTATGTACTATGAATGGTAATCATTTGCTTCAGATGACTCAAATCATATTACACAGATTGTATTCATAAAGTGCTTGTATTTTGGATAGAAATTTGGGTATGAGTGTTACCGAGTAGATTTAAGAAATTATTGCTCAGACATAGTACTGTAACTAATATTTGTATCTATGCTAAAGACAGACTACCCTAAGGTTTCAATGAATGGAAATCAAAAAGGTGTAAGGGAATTTATGGGACTGGTCATATATTGAAACGTTGCAGTTTACAAAACTAGAAAGTGGTTTAAAAAAAGAAGTGCATTAAAATAGATGATTTATTACAGGTAAAGAAAGTTAGTTTAACAAGCATGATAAATCGAAATAATGTTGCAAGAGACATTTAGAAATGTTGTCCTAGGGATTATAGTGACAGGTGAAAAGCAATTGAATAAAATGCTGATCACGAACGTGTCCATTTAAAAGTGTATTAGAACGGAGCTATGAGTTAACGAGTTGAGCTCACCTCAGAGCAAGTAAACACCAATCACTCAACTGAATAAAAAATATTGTATATAAAAAAAACAAATCAAAGGGGATCAGTTTCAATCAAAACTGTTTTATAGACATTTGTATTCAACCGAAGTTTCTACTACTTCAAGTAGGTAAATAAATGCATGCAGTTTTTTTTAAAAAAAACTAGCGACATGTGTGTATAGTACCATTGCTTGATTGCAATGAATCCAGAAACGCTTTTAGATGATGCTGTATCTGTAAATAGAACAATGAGCTTTGTTAGCATTTTATTTTTGGTTTGGTCTTCTCACAAGCATCGTGCCTCAGTTGTGTTTATGGGACATTTATTTTTTATGTAGGAAATGCAGTAGTTTTCTCCCCCCTTGTAGCCCCTTAGTACCAGTGTCACATCATTGTGAAAAGATGAAAATGAAAGTAGGCAGGTAGGAATTAAGTCAGTGGATAGATGGACAGTTGGATGGACAGATGTACGGAAGGCAACAGAAAAAAGGATGGAATGAAAATATAAAAAAGTGAAATGTGTGAGGAACATATCCAATTGAATCCCAGTTGTGGCATTCATCAGATTCTTGATAATCATGCCCATGTCAGGGTTTCCACTTATTAACATCTGTTGATCCACACAAATATTTTATTCAGGTTACCTGTAATGTTTGCAATATCCAAGCAAAACAAAGGATATCTTGTATGTGTAGAATCACACTAAGTATTTCTATATTGCATGGTGATTCAGTCACCCTTCTCTCTGCTGTCAAATGTCTGATGTTGGAGTTCAGTCTCCGCCTCTACAAGTTGCTACCCTAATGGCATCTCCATTCTCCAAGGTGTCCATTTGTTGTTTCTATTTCTGCAGATCCATAAAAAAACAAAAAATCCGTGCTTACAACAATTGTAATACTGTGCTCAGATTTCTGTAACTTATGAAAGTATCTTTATCTTTGGTGCCTCAAATACTGCTTTGTAAAACCAGAGTGCATTATGCATTTCTGTTTACTCCGAGATTAATCACTGGAATACCAATGGCTATATTTCCAAGTACAATTTCTAGGGACTGCAGAAGTTGCAGTTCTAGTTGTGCAGATGGTGCTAATTATATGTGTCTCAAGCTTCACATAACCAGAATAACAGCCTATTATTTTTAGAGTACATGAACAAGGTAGAGTCTCCCTGCAAATTAAATGACATTTCAGACTCACATTGTTTTGTGTAGAGTAGTGGTATTTATATTACAGCCTTGGGATTTGGCATTATTTCCTCTCCTCTTCTCACTCTCTATTAAAAGAAAGTAAGGCTATTCTAGCTTCCACACTTGCATCGCTTCACTCCACTCTGTAGCATTCCTGAAAGTGGCCTTTCTCCCTTTGAGCAATACATTGGTTGGAATCCCAATTCTCAAGTGGTGGTGTACAGTGTTCAATTAGAAATGTCACAGTTTTCTTCACATTGAGTTTGCATAATGAAACATATACTGTAGGTGAGTGAATCGCAAACCTGAATTGTAATAACCAGTTTTCCATAATGTGTTTTTTTNAGATAGTCATAACTTTACACTGCTAGCTAATTATTTCTCAAGCTGTAGCAATAATTGTACATTGTATATAGTACATTGGATATTAACTGCACCTAGTATGTTGTACTATTTAATTGTTTAATGTGGACAAGGTGAAGAATATTGAATGTTATTGACATTTGGCCCTTAACACAACGCTTTGGGACGTCCTCTTGATGTGAAAGCCGCTATATAAATGCAATTTGTTGTTGTTAACTGCCATCAAAATGGGTTATTATTAGCGCTGAATGCAAATCCGTGTTAATTACAATGAAGAGCTAATGGGTTAGACTAGTGCCTCCATTAATAATCTCACTTCAGCCTCACTAGGCCTATCATGTGTCAGTAATGTGCACATAAAAACATGGCAAGTCAGGAGCTAAATACAAACCACAGATTTTCTTCTTGGTTTTTTGATCAATTTAAATGACAAGCAAAAGAATTTCTAAAAAAAGCAAATATTGTCTTGTTTTCCGATTTGTAAAGTTTAAAGAGAATTTAAATTGGTGCTAACTTCATGCCGCACACTCTGAGACGGTCCCATAAGAAGGGTGCTATATAAATGCAAAGGCCTTTCTTGTTCTGAACCTCTTTTATGATATTGTGATCTGTTGCTGTGAAGGGTAAAGAGTTGCGTTTCTTTCTGAGCCTTGTTTGTACATGAGTACCTTTTGTGGTTTTAATATCTATCAGTCCGTAAATTCCACATTTATAAAAAATGTCATACAATGGAAAATAACAGTGAGTTGTAAACAGAGTTAAAAAATAACACTGTTGCTCGTCTATTTTTAAATGACAACCAGGGAAACAAACACTGCCACAAGTCGTTTGATGAAATCTACAACTGCATTGTAGGAATGGAAAGTTGGGCTCATTTCAAACGGAGTGTTTTAAAGGTGCTTATCCTCAAGACTGGTTCTGTTCTATCTTCTGATGGTCTGAGAAAGTATGTGTTAAAATGAATAAACTGTCAGCAGGTTATTACCAAGCAGCATGTTGGATTCCTATAGCTGAGAAAGAATCAGCCTTGAATGTTTCAGTAATCAGTGAGGATTAGTTTCTGTAATAATAATAATCCTTGCATTTGATATAGGGCTTCTCACAGCGAGAGGACAGGATTTACCATACAATTTATGTAGTGCTTTTCACATCGGAAGGATGTCTCAAAGCATCTCAAAGTGCTTAAAGCATAAAGTGTAGTCATTATGTAATTTGTAGGCAAATGCTGCACCAATTTGCACACAGCAATATCCCACAAACAGTCATGAATTCAATGTACTGTCTTTCAGCAGGAATTAACCTAGTTACTGTATTTCCATTTGTAAATGATTAGCAGAAATTACAGCTTGAAAGCTACACTGCTGCGTTGCTACAGGTAAACATCCTCAAATTTGAAAAAAAATATTTGTAGAATATGCTCTTTCTACAGAAATACACAAATTTTGTTTTTATTTTTCTGAGAATGAATGTACAATTTTAAAACATCTTTGTAATTGGAAAGAACATTATTTGGTCCAACAGCAAGAAAACTGCCCCCTTTCCAACCACTAGGTAACACTTCTCTATTGTTCCACATGCATGATATTTTATTTCTTCTGAATTATAGATGCCAAACATGTTTAATTGATCCACAACAGTGTGCAGATGTTTAGTGCCAGTTTTATTTTGTTGTCACACGAAATGCAACTGAACTAGCTGTGAATTCGGCCACAATATGACTGGTTTGCAATAGGTCTTGTTAGAGATGACTCCACAATCCAAACTGAACCTTATCATTGAACAATGTGGAAAGTGTGCTGCCTCCCAGATGAAGGCCTCCCAGATGAAGGCTCTGAGAGCTATGTGTTTGAAACCCTTTCTCTTTAAGTGATTGCCGGCAAATAGGGAAGGAATGAAAATGCTGGGATCGTATTGAATACACGTAGAGAAAGAGAAAGAATGTGTTAAAAAGAGCACTGAGTGAATTGTTAAATGGAGTAATAAAGGAAGAAGTGTGCTGGGAACCAGAACACAAAACTGGCGGAAACATGGAAAAAAATGAGAGCTGAAAATAGTTGAGAATTGAGGAGTTACAATTAAGCTAATGTTAAAAGTAATGAAAAAGGTCTGTGAAAAGTAATTAATATCACCTAATGTGAATTCAATTGAATTCTCTTGTGTTATTTATTAGAACTAGCAGAACATTAGGTGGTGAGATTAGGAGGC